TTTTCTGCCCGTAGCCAAGATATGGGAAAGGTACTGCAGTGCTTGCTCCATGCACAGGTTATAGCATTTTTTTTTTTTTTTTTTTTTTTTTGTACCTCTTCGGAACTGAGGCACTTATAGTATCATTGATGTAAAAAAAAAGTATCATTGGTTAGGGGACTCGAGGGTTCAGTCTCTCCTGATTGATGAGTCAGTCGGTAAAACTCCGGTCCGACGAAAGGTCGTCACAGCCTCCCGTTTCGTATCCTTTTCCTTTTCTCCCCGTTTTCCGTTTTTTTTTTTTTTCCCTTCGCGCTTTTTCACGTACATACGGTGCGCTGGAACAGTTCTCTTTGATTTTGTTTTAAATATAATCCCTGCATTTCTCGATATATGCGTGTCATCCTTGCGCGGAGGCCATGCCTGTCTTCCTCCTGTATCGTTCCAGTTTGAACGGATGTCTGAAGGACGTTCTCTGTGACTATGAACGATACAGGAGGAAGACTAGCATGGCCTCCACGCAAGGATGACACGTATATATCGAGAAATGCAGGGATTATATTTAAGACAAAATCAAAGAGAACTGTCCAGCGCACTTAATCGGATGTCTGAAGGACGTTCTCTGTGACTATGTTCACAAGGCGGTTCACGATATATAGTCACAGAGAAAGGGAATAACATGGCCCCTTATCGCTAAGATGACACGTGGCAGTAGAGCATGGTCCATTAAAAAAAAAGTTGGACCATTTCTCGATTTATGGGTGTCATCCTTACGCTGGGGCGATGCTAATCTCTTCTCTCTCTGCATCGTTCCAATGTTAACGGAAATGGCACAGATTATATTATTTATTTTGCTATCTACCATTGCTTATGTGGATATCACTTTTGTCTTGTAGCTGTGGAGGATGACAACCAAGGTCATAGCTCAGAGAAGCCTGCGGCAGCGGTAGCAGATGGAGGAGGAAGAGATGAAGCAGCAGCGGCAGCAGCAGCAGCAGCAGGAGGAGGAGGAGGAGGAGGAGGAGGTGGTTTGCCGAAGTATTTCAGATCTGTGACTATTGTGAATAGGGGCAAATCGGAAATTTGTCTGGTGGATATCCGTGCGGCTCCAACGATCGAGAATAAAGTGGTTATTATCCATGACGATCATGGCCTGGGAAAGTTCAGTGCACTTTCGTTGATGGAGCGTGGTGCTGGTGCTGACGTCAACAACAATCGCAGCAATCGTCACAAGCCGATCATGGTTGTTCTGCAGCCTGGTGCTGAATATTGTGTGTCTGTGGTGAGTCTTACCAGGTCACCTAAACAGTGCGTTTTCTTTTTTTCTTTTTTCTTTTTTTTTCTGGTTTTTCCGTTTCTTTTTTTGGGGGGGCGAGGGAGGACTTCTTCTTTTTATATTTTTCTAAAAGAAGCTTTAAATTCGGACCTTTTGTCGTTGTTGTTTGGTGAGAGTGTTGTGATTTTTTTTTTTTTTTTTTTTTTTGAATCTGATTTGGACCTTTTGGCAGGCAGTCTTTCAACCCTGCCATTGCAGTGGTGAAAACGCATGCTGTTGAGTATATTTATGGTCACATCTCTTGGGGGGAAAAAAAAAGGGAGGGAAAGAAAGGGGAAAAGGATCTTCACTTTATGGAGTCGATGCGGAGTTGGTGAAAGGGGACGGATACAGGTTTTCTGCAGAGTTATTGACGAAGTCGCTAACGATTTACTGTGGAGTTACTGCGCAAAACATTACAGTAACATACATGATGGTAGAGGCCACTCGCCAGAGAGAGCTTGTGAAAGTAAGTAGACAATGGATCAGTGAGCAACTGTAATCGCCATCATCTTGGTCTGAGGGGCGATTACGTATGGCACTCACTCTTTCTTTTCTTTTCTTTTCTTCGAGCCTGAATCGGACTAAGATAGAGTCCTTTTAAATCTGTCAAAGGTTTAAAGACGTGAGTTGGGTTATTGTGCAGTTACTGCAGAGTTACGGCAGAGTTACTTAGTTTTTGTGCAGTTATTCTGGAGTTGCAGCGCAGTTACTGCTCGGTTACTCTGCAGTTACCCTGCAGTTACTCTGCAGTTACTCTGCATTTACTCTGCATTTACTCTGCATTTACTCTGCATTTACTCTGCAGTTATTGCAGAGTCACGGTGGAGTTACTTGCATAGCTTCCTGCAGAGTTACGGAGTTACTTAGTTTTTGTGCAGTTGTTGCGGAGTTACAGCGCAGTTACTCTGCAGTTATTCCCGAGTCACGGTGGAGTACTTGCATAGCTATTGTGCACTTTTTTGTTGCGGAGTTACGGCAGATTCACTGCTCCATTTTGTGCAGTTATGGCGCAGTTACTACACTCAGTTCTTGTGGAGTTCTTGCCGAGGTTACGGTGCAGTTACGTCCCCAGTTACTCTGCAGTTAGTGCAGAGTTACTGTGGAGTAATTGTTGCGTAATTGTGTTGCGGGTATTGCCTGCGGAGCTATTGCGGAGGTGAGATGGTTGCAGTAACTCTGCAGTAACTCTGCAGCAACTCTGCAGTAACGTCCAAGTGTGTCTACAGTAACTGCAGTAACTCCGCAGTACAGTAATTGCAGTTACTGTAGACATACTGCGAGGTTATGGCACAGTAATTGCGTCTTATTTGTGTCTGGCCATGGACCGGAGCGCAAAGTGCAAATCTTTGACCGTTGTCTCGTTTGTCCTTATCTGGTGAAAATGTTCTTATCCACTGACATTTAACTTTTCTTTTTTTTGCGGAGAACAATCATTCATTCATTATAAAAGAGCGTAGAACCGAGGCCGGGTCCTCACAAGTCGACCCGGAAAATTACTGGCAGCAACTGATATTTACCTAGAAAGGAGAAGATTTTTATCTGAAGATGGAGGGGGGAGCGGGTAAAGAGGGAGCTCTTTGCAGAAGCAGCTGCAGATGAGGAGAGGGAGCGGGTAAAGAGGAGGTGGTTTCCGCTAGATCTCTGAGGATAAGGACCTCGGCTCTTGGGACTCGCAGACTGTCTGGTTGCATCTTTGTTGTAGTTCGTTTTTTTAAAGTCTGGTTATAATATTGATTGTGTGATTGAAGTTGGAAAGTGAACGCTTCCTTCAAGCAGTTCAGAAAAGAGGCTATGCACACCAGACTTTTTTCCGACTGAATCTGGTCAAAATTGTGGTGAAATACGTTAGGAAAGTAAGTGTAGGCCCTGAGTTGATTTTGATTGAGGATGGGCCTCACTGCACTACTCTCAACATGCACAAACGACAGAAAAGATGGCCATGTATCTTTCCACATTCTAGTGGTGGATTCAGTCTCGTTTTGCACATTTGGAGAGTATTGCAGCGAGGCCCGATAAATGATTTGTGAGTGGGATATAGGAAGTGAAAAACGTGACCGAGGTCACTAGAGACAGAGGAGGGTAAAAAGGACGTTACACCACGAATCCCTCTGAGCCTCTTTTACCGATCCGGATTGCTGCTGCGCGCCACGTAAAAATGATCCGACGCGGATGCAAAGTATTTTCTTTTTGCAGAGCGCCTGTTAACGGTGCGGTTTGGAAATAGCTGGGAAAGGGCTTCACATAAGATACCCACTCCAGCGCTTCTCCCCATTCCAGTTGGGAGACCCGAGCTTGCCGGTGGAATGGGAACCGGACTGACGCTCCCCAGAATGGATATGGATCCAGGGCTTTAAGACCCTGTTTACCTTTTTTTTTTTTTTTAAGCTGGGAAAGGGCTTGGTGGCTTAGCCGAGCCGTACGCTTCCCAGGCAAAAAATTCCATGGTCCAGTACGCAGAGCCCCTGTTAACGCTGCTGTTGGAAATTGCTCGGAAAGGGTCTTGTCGTTGAGACCAGCGGTAGTATGTTTTTCTTTCACAGACAAAAATCTCCAATGTGGCACGGCCAGCACTGCGTCCTTCCTTCGAGGGTCAGCCTGCCAGAGCTCTTTGGCTGGCGGCACCTGCCAAAAAGGAAAAAGATTGCGCTGCGTCTGTTCGTTCTTTTCTTTTTTTCTTTGGTGCGCAGCACGGATTCGCCTCAGGAAAAATAGGCGTGGAGAAGTAGAGGTGGTTTAAACCACCAGTACTTCCTAAAGTCGTGCCCGTTAAAAAGCCATGATTTGACGAAACGTACGGGTCACTACAGGAGCGCCCAAATTCATCCTGCTAGAAACGTTTCTACTCTTTTTTGTTTTCCATCGCCGATAGCTGGGACATGTACTGGTGGTTTAAGACGTGAGAGGAGAGGAAAGAGGGTAGGAGGAGGTTGGCAAGGTATGTAATTGACAGTGGAAGGGAGGGTATATCTCACAGCTGTGGTCTCATTTAATTCTTGGGGCCGAAACTTAAATGAATTAATAGATTATGCAATTAGTTAGTAAATTGCATTAACCACTAGTACCTCCGAGCCTGTTTTTGATGACCCTGAATTTCACTGCGCTCCGAGTTTTGCCGAGCCTGGGTCCCACTCCAATTTCTTTATGGTACTCTCACGGGAAGAACCAAAAAAAAAAAAAGAAAAAAGTTGCGGGCGTGAAACTCACAAAACAAGAAAAGAAAAAATAGGAAACAAAGCTCTGGCCGTGATTGCAGTTGTATACATTCTTGGAAGTGGTAGTGTGAGTGTGCCCTCAGTGAGGGCATCTCAGCCCCGTGGCGAGATTGTTAGATTCCAGAAAAACAAAAACAAAAAAACGGAAACAAGGATTCGGCTGTGAAAATGGCTGGATACATTCCTCTGAGTGCCATTGTGATCAGGGTTACAATCCTCCGAGGAAACACAGCTTGAGCAGATCACGGATGCAGATTGTTGGATTCCAGATCACAAAACAAGGGGAAAAGAAACGAAAACACGGATTTGGCCATGAAAATGGCTGGGTACATTCCTCTTAACTGTCAGTGTGATCAGGGTTACAATCCTCTGAGGAAACACAGCTTGAGCAGATCACGGATTCCGCCCTGCCTCGTTGGCAGGGGACTCATAACAAACACACGAGAAAGAAAAAAAAGAAAACAGCAACTTTCAGAATGTGACCGTGTTTGCTGTAAGATGCATTCTGTTGAGGAAGACTGTGAGCACGGCCTCCTAGACTACCCTGCCCGACATCACTGCAGTACAGAAAGCTTTTTTTTTTTTTTTGTCCCTTTTCCTTTCACGCGCAGGCAAAAGAAAACTAAGATTTATGGGACTCGCCGACCCTGGGTCCCACCCCCGAATTCTTCGGGAACTGGCAAAAACTCGTAATTTCCCAACACTAACAGAGGTACTAGTAGCTTAAGAAAAAAGCTATTTAAAAAAAAAAAAGTGTGATAAATTGTTAAAAAAAAAACAAACAAACATTTGTATATTTGGTCCTTCAGCCTGTTTTTTTTTTTTTTTTTTCCTTTTCTTTTTTGTGGTTGCGGTCCGTCTCTCGCACTGACGCTGCCATGGTGTGGACTTTACCACAACTCCTCCACCCCCTTGTTGTTTCTTCGAGCAGGAGTTGTGCTGCCATCCGCAGGAGTCCTCCTTCCTCCAGCAATGGCTGCTGTTTACATTTGTGAAAGAAAAGGTTCTGCAAGGAGAGGAACGAACGTTTGTGATTGGCCGTCGGGTGTCTGCGTTGGTGGCGAGAAACGCGGCAGATGTTCAGCAATGCCTCAGGTATGGTCGGATTTACAGGATTCAACAATGAACTTCTGAAGTCTACTACTAGTTCCAAAAAAATAACAATTAAAAAAATCAGACTAATTAAGTAATGATTCTAATCACCAGGTCCAGACATAGCAAGGGTTGACAGATTGAGAGAGCTCTTTCTTGATTCTTTGGGTGGTGGTATATGGCCGTTCGTAGTTGGTGGAGTGATCTTCTGTCTTTTAAGAGAGAAAAAAGGGTAACGAGTCTAATTATAGAGGTGGGGAAGGAAAATTTGTGATTGCTTGTCGTGTATCTGGATTGGTGGCAAGAAACGCCGCAGATGTGCATCTTTCTTCTCGCTTGATCCCCTCTCCCTTTACTCTACCGCTTTGTCACAGCGTGCGAGTGGGCGTCGTTATGGCACATGGGGATGTGGGCAGTCTGTGCTCAACTGCATCAGCGTGGCGAGCCTTGTGTGTGAGAGGCACATTAAAGCGGGGATCGAGAAGATTAAAAAAAAAGGAAAAAAAAAGAGAGACAAACCGCGATGAAAAGCCAACGTAAGGAAAGAGAAGAAAGAACTGCACGGGAAAAGGCAAAGCAACGGTTTCAGTGTCCTTGATGTTTTTTGCTTCTTTTTCTTTCTTTCTTTCGGGTTGGTGCGCAAAGTGCGCTGTCTTAGTCAACATATGTGTTACAATATATGTATATATGGCGAGAAAAGGGCCAAATGGCGAAAGGGCCAAATTGGCGAAAGGGCCAATTTGACAGTGCACTCAGGTTGGTTGGGATTTCTCTGGCTTGAACTCTCAGGGCTATCATGACGTGTCGAGAATAGGAATGGTACTGACGCTCCCCAGAATGGATATGGAGCCAGGGCCTTAAGACCCTGTTTAACTCTGGCTTTTGCTCTGAGTAGTAGTACTGATTGGTGATCATACTCGGATCGGAGGTAATGTAAGCCAAGAGTTCAAGCCAGGGTAATATAAACCAACCGGATGACACTGTCAAATCAGGGTAATGTAAACCAACCCGTTTAACCAGCTGGGTTAAACGGGTGGGGTCATGGTACCAAGAGTTCAAGCCAGGGTAGATGTAAACCAACTGGATGACATTGTCAAATCATGCGCGGTGTCAACACTGTCAAATCATGAGCAAGGGGTCAACTCATGGAAGTGGAATTCTCGGCAACCAAAGCCGTGGTAGGAAACATTCTTCACTCGCTCTCTATCTCTATCTCCTTGATTGGTTAGAATACAGACTAATTAGTAATTACCCTTGGGCCATATTATTCAAGGGGTGATGTGTCTGAGATGATCCTGCAGATGAAATGTGCGCGTGTTTTTTTTTTTTTTTTTTTTTTTTTTTTTTTTGTGTGTGTGTGTGTGTGTGTGTGTGTGAGAGAGAGAGAGAGAGAGAGAGAGAGAGAGATCATAGTAGACCAGCTTTTTTCTTTTTCTATTCAGGGCTTGTTCAAGTCTCTTGTCCCCTTCTAGCACAATCTTTGATTGTATCGCCTTGTGGGGTGAGATACCTGCTTCTTTTGCCTCTTTGTCACTTTGTCCTGATATTCCTCACCTGGACCGTCATCCCCTTACCTATTTCACCTCAGGGAAGAAGTGTGGGAAACATTTTTCTCTGAGGCTTCTAGGTCTTCACAGTGCAGAGTTCGGCTACTGATTGGCCGCAATATCTGGTTGCTAGGTTTGCCTGGTCCGCAAACCGGCAAGTGCCTGGCCCCGGCGTCAGATCTATCGAGGCCAATGTAGCTCTAGTGATTAACGAACCGGACACCGATTAATATAATATTGACGTGTGTAAAGCCACAGGGCGGAGGTAATCATCGATAATAACAAGCTGACAAACATCTTGTGTAGATTGCGAACACGTAGCTGCGAAGAAGAAAGCTGAGATCAATGGTAGGGCGTCGGTCCACTACACACAATTCCTAATGTATGTGATTCTGAAGCTAGTCCCTATACATTCAACATTTCTGGTTGTCCGAATGTATACGGATTGATAGCCCAGATACATTTTGAGTGTTATCTAGTGGAGCAAGGCCCATAAGGGTTCAATTCTCTCTTCCACATTCAGAGAGCAAAGGAGGATAAGGGAGGGGGAAGACACTGGAGGGTCCATGTGTTTGTGTGGTGGGTGGACGCTGGGGGGAGAGGAAGGGGTTATTGGCGGCCAGAGGACAGCTTGGAGGGGAGGCTACAGGGTAGTTGGGGGGCCTACCAGGCATTTCATTTATCCTAGGGGCCCTTTGCAAGCTTTTCTCTTCAATAAAATTTCCCTACTTCTTGAATCTGTCTGCCTTACACCCTCATGAAGTCTACTATTTGCCAGTATTTGGTTGATGAAGATGGTGAATATGAATTTGTGAATGTCTTCGCCAAAGAATGTTCGCTCGGTAATGCTGGAGGTGGTTGGCTTGGGGTTGTGCAGCTTGTGCTCTTCAAAGAAGGGTTGGTTTGGTGGAAATTTATCGGATACATAAGTGGGTACACAGCACAGCGATGAATGGAAACATGTCTGGAAGGGGCCATGCTAATCTTCTTCTCTGTATTGTTCCAATTTTAAGGGATGCCAAGAAGGACAGCCTGTGAATTCACTGATCTAGTAACTGCCCCTCCCGGCTATCCCAAAAAGAAAAAGGAAAAAAGAAAAAAAAAAAAGAAGAAAGAAAAAAAAAGAAAAAAGAAAAAAAAAAGAAAAAAAAAGAAAAAAGAAAAAAGAAAAAGAAAAAAGATTGATTGAGAGATGTATGAGATGTAACCAGATTCTGGTGTTGTTTTTCTTCTTTTTCTTGTTTTTCTTCTGTTTTTTTTTTTCCCCTGACTCACTTGTGCAGCTCAGAGGCCAAGCCATTTTATCCACTTGCTCTGCGGACTTTATTCGATACTCCTCCGACGACATTTTACGTTGCGGATCCACCACCTATGCCTGTGTTCATGCTGAACCAGCGGGCGAAGGTGCTGCCGGCATACACCCAGAGTGGCCTTCTCTCGGCATGGCCTGAAGCATTCACCATATCTGGGAACAACGGGTCCGATTCTCTCAACTTTTCGGTTGCACCAACTTCCAACTGCCCTCTTGCTCTGCCAAATGCGCCTGTGGCCAATCCAGCCTTTGTTGTTGCGTCACCCTTGCCGTCGTCTGTCCCACCTCCGTCGGTTCATCTGTACTCGATTCAGTCTGTGCCATCATCATCTGCCCCTGGCTATTGCAATGTTCGTTCACAGCAAGCTGCATTGTCTGGCGGTCATGCTATGGTGTCACGGTACATGCCTCTCTCTCAACCTTCCTCCTTCGCTTCTAGTTCGCTTGCCGCATTGGCTCTGTCTTCCACGTCAGCTGCTCTTACTAATTGCAACCCTATCCAGTTTCCATTCACCAATACACAGCAACACTCCCACGTGTTTCAGGGCCCTCCACCTCAAGGACCATTGCATCAGGGCCACAACTCAGATTGGCAAACGCAGGTACCGAACGGCGGGACGCATGTGCCGCTTCCGTCACCTTGGTCCCCGCCTCCAGTGGAATGTCCCTGCGATCCCTCCTCCTCCTCCGCTGCTCTGGGTGATCGTCCCTTGATCACACAGCCAGGGGCATCATCGTCATCTGTTTACAACTGTTTACCGACGGGTGGCGACTTTGTGACCAGTGGAGTTCCACCGGGTGCGCGAGCGCCGATCTCTCTGGTGGCTGGCCATTTGGCAGCGACTCATGCATCGAAAGGCGGTTGCAGTGCATCCAGCTGTATAGGACAGTCTGTTTCTTCGAAAAAGCGCTGTTCGATCGGAGCACTGCCGGCAGGAGGAAGTGCATCTACTGTAAAAACAGCTTGGCATGCAGTTTCTGGACCTTCGACCAGCAGCGTCGCCATGGGTGAAGTGACTGGACCTTTGTCTTCTGGCCGAAAATGGGTTGTCGCCAGCAGCGGAGGATATTCTGCGGGATTGACATCAATTCACTCTGCAAATGCAATTGATTGTGTAGACGGCATCGCACATTGTCGGAGCGCTTCGTCACACAAAGTGGTTGGACACACAAGGACTGCTGCGGAGTCCACCAAAGCATGCCCATGTGCGATGAAGCAATTGAGACAGGTACACAGACTGAACTTTTTTTTTTTTTTTTTTTTTTTTTTTTTTTTTTTTGACAAAACAGAACCTAACGGTTCTGGCTCCTTTTCCATTCTGGGGAGCATCAGTCTGGTTCCTATTCCACCGGCAAGTCAGAAATGATTACAAAGGGTACTCACACACGCTCCTCCCCTTTATGGTAGGAAGGCCCGAAGGACGGCATTGATTACTTCCCGTGGGAAGGATGTACCATCATTCACCCCTGCCTAAGTTAGCCTCTTGAYGTAACCTAGGGCTTGTAAAGCCTCACCGGAGTTGTGAACTCAGTGTTATGGTGTCTGTCTGTTGAACTATCTGGGCTTCCCTAGTTCTGCCTCTCAGCTGTAAGGCTGTCAAATCTGTGTGAATTACTGGTAGAGCTAGGTCTGTCTTCCACTGTCTCTCTTACCTTTGCACCCTTATCCCTAAACAGAACCCCTTCGGAGGCCTTGCCGGGCTGTAACTTCTCGACACACCTCTCTGTCCCTTTTGGAGGATTTCTAAAAACCCTTAAACCCTAAACCCTTCTTCTGTTTATGCTCCCAGATTCAACCCTGGGCAGAATGGTCCTGAACTCTCCCTTGATTCCTCACGGTTCGTGTCCCCTGGGCCCCTGATGTGTCCCTTTCCTTCTGTCGAGGTCTAGGATGCTAGTATGCCCTGGGAAGTTGCCAGCTGGCTAACGCCTCTTACTGAGACAGAGTTATGCCACTCCCTCCAGCAAATTCGGTCCTCTCGCAATTCTGCAATCTTACACAGACTGAACTTCATGTGTCGTTTTTCCCTTTTTTTTTTGGGAGTTCTTGACAAGAAGACGGCAGTCTAAAAGTAATAATAAAAAACAAAATTGCAAGGAAATAAGCAATGCGAACAGCAAAAATCAAGTTGCGACAAATCACAGAAAACCAGAAATTATTGAGCTGAAATTGAAAGCGGAAATCAATGCGCGAACCACACCAAATAGGAGTGAGCAAAGCACGGAAGTCTCTTGATAATGATAGCCCTTCCAACGCCTCCAATCACCAATACAACAACAATGCAGCTCTCCCCCTGCAGGTGGCTGTCCCACTGTCCCAGCTGCTCGTGCAATGCTGCCGCATTGCCCGGATACCTGGATGGCTGGCATGCTGCTGTCTAGCCTTATGTGCTGACTGGAGAGGGCGAGCAGCCTCTGGCCAGGCTGCACCCACTCCCAGTTGGCTGCGCCTTGGGACCGTCCAGAATCTGCATGAGGCCAGCATCTTCAACCAACTCGTGGGCTGGGCCTACCGGTTAGTTGAAGATGCTGCATGTGTGCAGCAATTACCTGGGGCCCCATCCTGCTTGCATTGGTCTGTTCTCAGGCCAGCCTCATCTTTTGCAGGCGCGGCTTCACTTAAGGTTGGCAGGGCCCTTTCCTGGCTAACCGAGGTACTGAATTGCAATCAGACTCACTCTCTTCTTCGCTTCACATACATGCAAACAGATGGCAACTCACAGTGGCGCATAGCGCCCACTCAAAGCTCATAGATATGAAAAATGAGAACACAGTTCAGATGCAAACTCGCTTCAACAGGCTATGGCGCATCAGCGCCTGTACATCCCAACTCTTGATACTGTGTCCAACACCACTGTTCGCACACACTCAACTCTGGATCACCCTGAATACCCCACACACATTGACTGTAGCACACACTCGTAGGCACGCACTAACTCCTAACACTAGCTATGGCAGCTATGGCCGCCGGCTACTACTGCCTATGGACACCCTGCCTCTCTTCAGCCCACTTCGACTTCGGGCAACCTGCAGACCACCTCGTACCCCAGCGCTTCCGCATGGGCAGCGAATGAATGAATGGCTGGACGCTGCCTCTTGATTTATACTTCTGTAGGTCGTTGGTCTGCCCCTTTTCCACCGGGCCGATGGTGCGCACAGTCCCTCATGGTACTTGCTGACTGTACAAAGTGAGACTGGGACTGGGTACCGCTGATTTGGTAAGCGAAGTTGGACTCACCACTTGCCCACTTGCCTCTGGTGTGCTGTGTAAAACATGAGAAGAAACTTGATAGGCCACTTCTGGACCTTCCGGAAGTTTGCGGACTTGGCCTTTCAGAACTGTAGCAGCTACGACCTTGACCTTTCAGGACTGTAGCAGCTACGATCTTGACCTTTCAGAACTTCAATAACTATGACCCCTATGCAGGTATGACCCCTGCTTTGACAGGTCCAAGGTTCAAGACCCGACAACTACTCAGACCTACGACAGACCACTCTCAACTACTAACACACAGGTCACGGGCTCAAAACTCACAGGGTCGACTTGATACTGTCCACAGGTAAGGTAAGGTAAGGTGAGGTCTGGGGATCGAGCCCTGGGATCCGCATCTGTGTCTGCAAAAGGTGAAAACCGTTTCAGAATCCTTGCAAAATTTTACCATTATTTGTACTATAATACAAAATAACATATTAGATAAGACCGGCAACAGTCTTGCTGTGACTTCTTGTCCTCGCGGAGATACATAATGAATGTTATAACACCAATCTTGTCAATTTATTGTTTTTTTTAATGATTTTTTTCTCTGTTATTACGAAATATGTGAATCCAGGGTTTGTAAAAAAATATTGCAAAATATTTCAATCTAGCCTCTGTAGAGAATTCGCAAACTTGTTCCGAGCTTTCGAAGCTGTGTGATGGTCACATCGACAAGTCTCAATGGCCATGTGTCACCACTCTCTTTCTTCAGGTTGTTCCTATGATGTCTGGTGCAGATATCGGAATGGAGCATGAGATCAAGACCAATGAATGATCAAGGAACGAACAAAAGAGGAAGAATAGGTAATATCAAATGAAGTTATAAATGCCAATTTTGTAAAGAACAAAACTTACGAAGGAGGTTGCGATCTATGAAATCAGTCATGCAAAGCAAATCCGTGAAGACAGTCACTACTAAACCTTGTAGGTGAATACTAGACACATGTAACTTTTAATAAACAGATCATGAGTTCAAAATTCAAACTTCAAATCCACCATAAAGTTAGGAACTGCCTCCTTTAAATGAATAAATAAGTTAAAATAACAAGAAATAATAAATGAAATTAGTAATATGAGTAAATGAAGAAATAATCAATCAATCAATCAATCAATCAAAATGAGAAATTGCTCTGTTTTACTGTGTATGAACTTTGAAGCGGTCGGAGTCAGTGATAAATGAGCCCTTGTCAACAATGTGTTGTTTTTATTCTTTTTTTTTTTTTTTTAATCCAGAAAACGCCCAGGTTGTTGTGTATGAACTTTGAAGCTGTCGACAACTTTTAATACCCCAGTGCAGCTAGTTGATGCTAATGTTGTGTCCGTGGCTATGTTGCTCTGCCTCTTCAGCTTGCTCGTATGCTGTCCTTGGAGGAGATTGCAATGGAGAGGGATATCAAGGGCCACGATCTGTACAATGTCCACCTTTCTGTGCACAGATCATCTTCTTTGCTGACGATATTCTCACTAGAGGTAACTGTGGCACTGTTTCACTGGAGTTTACTGTTCCCTTGTGACAGCACACGACTCTGGCTATCGGTTAGTGTTTGTATCGAAGGGTGTGCAGCGATGGATCCTATTGGAGTCCTCAGGACTGGCACTGTCTCCTCGAGTGCTGCATTAAGTTCGGTCCGTCCATGCTGCTCAACTCACAGCAATCAATACCCAGAACCAGGAAATATTAATTTCTGAAACGTGACTTGAATGTCAACTATGGACACGAAAAGGAGGGCTCAACATCAGGAGGAGGGGGAGGAAGAAGAAGAAGAAGAAGGAGAGTATGTCAATTGAAAAGGAAGAGGAAGGGAAAAACTGTGGGTCGTGAATTGGAAGGAGGCCGTACACCAGGACTTTCTTAGATGTATTAGACTCTTATTTATGACCAGATTCTCTTGAAGGAGTTCCAATGTGAGCATGCCCTTGGAGCAGTGGAGTGTGGTAGATAGTGGGAAGTCATTGTCAGAAAGGCACAGAAGTGCAGACGTGTATGGGTGGTGTGTCACATCTGGAGGAAGCCAGGGACCGGAGCAGGAGTGGGGAGCACACAAATGGTTATCTGGTACCCCCACTATTTGTTGTTTGGGTCACAATCCTTCCCGCTCTCCCTCCCTGCCAAAAGAGCACTGAAACAAGTTTTTCGGGGGCCAGTTTTCCCCCGCTCTTGTGCCTTTGTTGTCCTTTTTTGCTTTTTCTTTGTAGCTTGTATGCTGTTTGTTAATGGTTTGTAATACGTATGTAGTGCACGGGATGCTGGCCTCTTGGGTTGTTCTGTTATAAAAGCTACTAGGAAAACACAAAAGGGGCTACCCATTCTCTTCCCCTCTCTCCTCCGTACCCACCCCTGTCATGCTCTGAATTGTGTAATTGGCCGAGACAAAAAGGCTTACTTCACCACTTACCAAATGTCAAAATTCGTTTGTGTGCCATCCCGTAAAAGAAAATAAAGTACAATGCATGCACAGTTTCTCACACTTGGGGAGTAGTGCGGCAATGGCCCGAACAGTGAGGTTGTATGAGTCACCTCTGACAGTGGGCGTACTCAGAAAATGCAGGTATTGATTAGTTCATCTTGCATTTATTCAGCTTTCTTTCCCCTCACCACTAGGGGCTTAATCCCATATGCCTAAATTCAATCTCAATGCCAAAGTCGGCCTTAAATGGGCAGCTGTCTATGTACTTTTTTTCCAATTTGAGCCATGGATTCTAATGGATCACAGCAGCACCACTGAAGAAGGTGGAGGGATGGGAGAGGGAGGGGAGGATAAGAGGCAGAGCGGACCAAATGTTGTCGCAGCCGACTGGTCCCCTTACCCCTTACCCCTTGGGATGGCTCAGCCTCCTTCCTGTCAATTCTGCTGAAGGTGAGAGCCTGTAAGGTCTGGCCAGCGATGGACGATGCTGTTCATCCGGATCACTGGTCCTACTCCCTTCTTTCTCTGCAGCCTTCTGGAAGCTGAATGTGCGCTGTTACCAGCCATAACTAGTTATAAACCACCCCTGACATTTGAGTATGAACCTCACTTTCCTGTCTCTTTTCATCTACCAAGTCGTCCAATTGGCATCGCCACCCTTGGCTTTGTTCCTCAAGGATTTTGTGTGCACTGATGATGGCATTGTTTCTTGGGCGAACCAGGTTCCAGGTCTACCAGAAAACCGGCCTTCGGTTCTGCACGGAGATGTAGTGCATATTCGATTTGCCAGCCAGCAGTCTATTGAATACGCGGCATCAGTCTTTGCGGTGGAAGTGCGACCTGTGCCTCGACTGCTGCTTGCTTTGCCAAAAGGAGTGGTGGCGGAGGAGGAGAATGCCAGAACGGTGCAGCTGGAGGCCTTGCAAAAGGAGCTGGTTCATGTCCGGTTCACGTTTCACCGGTCCTTACTCAAGGTATACGTCTCATTGAATGGGCAAATCATGCCTGTGGGATAGAACCCCTTTACCTCCTCTGCACAATATTAAAATCCTTAAAAGAGTGCTTTGGTGAGTGGGGCTGGTTGGCATGTGTTCCATATCAGGGGGCATTCATATCCTGGAAGATGAACAGCCTCTCTTTTTTGCCTTTTCTTTACCGGTTTTGATAAGGCATAGCCTCAAGGCTATGGCTCCTTTTTCGCTGGAACCCTCTTTCCTCTCGTCAGTGTGCCACATTTTGTGTCATTTTTGAAGCTTCCCTTGCTCCTGTGCATTAGATGAACAAGGGTATACCCTGGGCGTCACAATGGGAGGTGATGGGCAGAAGCTCACAATAATTTTACCATTGGCTGGGGGTTGCTTTAGGTGATGCAATCAAACCTGAGTACTGCTGTAAGGATTTCTCCCTTTGGAGGAGAGTGACTTAAGCTTCAAGCATACTGTTGTGCACGTTGTGCAGGACACGACTGTATGCCGTCCCCGTTTTGCGGTTGTCTGGTCCTCGTTATGGATTGAACACGATTGAAGTGGTCATGGCCTCAAATTGCATCCAATCCCCAGCCCCTACATTATGTGCTTGTCTGATTCTGATCATGCGTTGGGACTCGGGAGGTGATTGCCTCAAATTGCATCCAATCCCCAGCCCCTACATTATGTGCTTGTCTGATTCTGATCATGCGCTGGGAGGTGATTGAAGAGGCCATGGTGTCAAGTTTGCATGCAATCCCAGCTCCCGCTTCAGTTGTTTGTCCCAGTTGTGCATTGGAGATGGCTTCAGAGGCCATGGAGCCAAATTGCATCCAATTTTCCAGCCCTCCTACATGTCTGCAGTATCTGTTCACTGCATATCACAGGTACTACCGTTCCCACTGCTCATTTCCAGTACCACCTTTCACCTAACCATTCCGTGCGGAGGCGTCTGTCCATCGTTTCCTGGCTGTTTGGTGTCATGCTTATCGTTACTTCATGCTCTGATGTGATCTTGTATTTCTGGTTGTAGAGGATGCATGCTGCCTTGCTTCGAACTTCGAGAATGGCGTTCCCACTTCTTCCGTGCTCATGCCCAGAAGTACCAGGCAGTGGATCATCAGAGTTGGAGGGCCTTGCAGATGGTAGCCTCCCGGGGTAAGTGGTTTGCATTTGTGATTGGCTATAGCATTTTTGCCATTGGCCCTCTGGCCTTTCTTTTTTTTTTTTTTTTTGAAAATACAGTATAATGAAGGCGTTTGAAAACCCTTTCCATGCCAGAATCGATTACCCTGAGTGTCAAGGGATTGACTGAACAGGCCCTCTGGCTTGAATTTGCTGCTTCACGCTTTCCCCCTCCCGTTGGTGATTACTGTCCTTTTTTTCTTTCTGCTCTTTGTTCCTTTTTAATACGGTGACTGTATCTGAGTCTGTCCATTTGCATGTAAAGGCTGCTGAACTGCCACTAATGGTTAATGGGTGGTGTCGTTTTCCCTGATCTTTTTTTTTTCTTTTCTTGTTCGTCTTATGACATGTATGTGCTTTAGGGTATATCTGTATTCAGTTTTGACGTATGTGTTCTGAATGGCGAGAGCGAGGTGCGCGAGAATTGCCGTGTCCGTGTGGTGTGTTGTGTGTGGTGTGTGTTGAGTTGGACACTACAGCCTTCCAGGGGTGGGGTGGATATCACGACCGGTATGGTTCCGTGTCCTGGCTGAAGTGGTTAAGTTACCTGGCTCTTGAGGCTGAGGTTGCCGGTTCGAATCCGTGCTTACATGGTGGAGGACGTCGGGCTCATGCTGGGATGGGCAGTGCCATCCTGTAACCTCAGCTGTTGGGGAGCTAGATGTGCAGATTCACTTACCTGCAGTAACGAAAAAGTTGGCAAAAACACCGAATTTGATGTTTGTATTATGAGCTTGCATTGTATGTTCGCGAAATTTTCGACGACATTGCTTGTGGTGATGCAGCGAAAAACCCTGAATTTTGGGCCTTCCATTAACCATCTCTCGGGATGACTGGAGTGCTACATTCCAAGTCAACATTTTGAACCAGCCGTTATATCGGTGTTGTTCACCAGCCTTTGAAGGCACAAACGATTCATTTTTCATCACAAGGAATGTTTGAATAACAGGATGCACAAACAAAAAGAACAAATGAACAACCGATGAGTGAATGAATGACTACAAGGGAAGGAAGGGAGAGAGCGGGGGAGGGAGGGAGGTAGCGAGGGAGGGAGAGAGGGAATGGTTGAATAGCAGGATGAACAAACAAATGAAAGAACAAATGAACGGTGGATAAGTGAAGCACTGACTAAAGAGGAAGGAAGGGAGAGAGGGGGGGGGCAGGGAGCGAGGGGGGGAGAGAGGGAGCGAGAGAGGGAGGGGGGTAAGGATTGAGGCAAGGATGAAGGGAGGAGGGGAGTGAAGAAGGGAGTGGGAGGAGGAAAGGAGGGAGGGAGCAAGGGACGGAGCACAGGTTGGAAGGGAGGGAAGGAGTGAAGGAGTGATGGAGGCGAGGGGGGGCGAAGGGAGCGAGGGAGGAAGAGAGGGAGGGAGAGAGGGAGGGAGGGAAGAAGTGAAGGAGTGATGGAGGCGAGGGGGGGGGGAAGGGAG